CTTAAGGTACGATGCCATACACCACTAGTATGAATACCATAGATACAAGATAAATAAGCATAATAAAAGTCACAGGTGGCACCATCTCTCAGTTTGAGCGCTCACGAGATGTCAATGATATGTCAAATTAGCGGAGAATGTATGTACAGTTAGAAGTTATGACAGAATGGTTTCTGTAAAATACTAAATAATTCTTTAAATCATTAAGTAATTTTCATATTAATGTCATTGTGCAACTTTTATGTGTGATAGTGCGTTGAAAGCACAATTACATTTATTAGTTGCTAGTTAAACTTTTTATTTCAATCAATGTTTTAGCGACGTACCGTTATGTGTAAAATTCAGCGTACCAATTCGCAATTTAATAGTGCAGTGACCCACAAAATTAATTTTTATAATAAATGACATATCATTTATATGAGCTACTTTATATATTCATTTTATTTTTATACTGCACTTTAAATTTTTTTAAAAATGTTTTGTATATAACGTTTTGTTCTGGTCTTGTTACGTTTGAGGCAGCTTTCTTTTAAAAATAAATAAAAAAAAACAATGGCTTTGCGTAGATCTCATGGTTGAAGAAATGGATGGCACAAGCCATCCAGAAAATATAATGATTCTACTGCAAATATCTCTCCAACTGCTATTTCCAGTACAGATCATTTTACTGCTCAAGAAATAGAATTAACTACAGTTAGCGTTGTACCAGATGGTATGTGGTTAATCATAATAATCCAAGCTACTTTAAGTAATAGCTTAAACAAAATATCTTTCTTTATATAGACACATTTACTGTACCCCAGGCTGTCAATGCGTTAGGTTTTGGTTGGTTTCAAGTAAAGCTTTCGCTAGCAACTGGATTATGCTGGATGGCAGACTCTATGGAGATGTCTATTTTGAGTATGCTAGCACCAGCTCTGCATTGCCATTGGGGAATCTCCAAGTATTCAATTATTTTTTTTATTCTTCTTTTGTTTGGCACAAGAATATTTGTAGCAAAACTATTCAAAAATAAATTAAAAATCAAACTCTGTACTAATGAAATTTAACATTGTGCATTTTAATAGAAAATAAGTAAAAATTACTTAACAGAATATGGCTTTATTGCATATATAAAACAGTATAAAATATTAAAATTTATGAGATCATGTTTATTTATTGAAATACAAGATATATTATATTATCATGATAGTTGAAATATATATTATTATTACGAAAAAACTATATATTTACTACAGATATCAGCAAGCGCTAGTTACAACAGTAGTATTTATGGGAATGATGCTGAGTTCAACATTTTGGGCCATCTAGTGATAGATATGGAAGGAAACCAGTAAGATTATTAAATTATATAATATGATCTGGTTTGTACATTATAATATCTCTAGTACTTATTAAACCAAACAATGAATGTAATTTTTTATATATATTTTATAGTTTATAAATAATTATTCTCAAGTAATATTTTGGAATATATTATATAAATACTTCTCGTTTTCATTAATATTAAAACAATACCTCAAATATACATTCCAAATATTACTCTTAAAATAATTCATATTTAATTTGTTTTATTTTCAGGCTTTGACACTATGTTCTGTTTTATTATTATTGTATGGACTATTGAGTGCAGTAGCTCCTAGTTTTCTCTGGTTGCTTTTACTAAGAGGTCTTGTAGGCTTTGCTATTGGATGTGTACCACAATCGTGAGTAATATATTTGAAAGAGTTAGCTAGAATTTTGGATTTGTTTTTAGTTCATTTTTTTTTCTTTGTAAATCATATATATTTTGATTTCACCAATGTACATGTATTTCATTTCATGCATCTTCAAATGTGCTTTCTGTGGATTTTTTGTTTTATTACTTCAAGAGTTACACTTTATGCTGAATTTCTACCAACTCAACAAAGAGCTAAGTGTGTAGTTCTTTTAGATGTAAGTTTATCATTCATGTTTTATACTTTTATCATTATAATTTCTTGTTTACATTAATGTTTTTAAAATGCATCATTTCCATTTTATTCATGTCATGTTTGTGAGAGCACTTTTGATTTGCTCATTATTTAAAAAACTAAATATCTAGTAAAAAGACTTTAAAATATTATAAGCATAAGTTCAAATTATTTTTAGTTATATTTTAATGATTTTTAATTTTGGTTTTAATATTATTTTATTAATGATAGTTTTCCGTAAAGTTAAGCTGATGATATATTTGATAATACATAATAACTAATAACTAATTCACTTTGCAGTTTTAGTTGATTTTTTTTAAATTTTTGCTGAATTTTTAAAATAATTTTTATTGAAAAAATATTTGTTCTGCTGCCCAACCATACACTTAAACCCCAAATATTTTGATTTAATTATTTTATTGCATGATGAGCTTCTGGGTGGTATTTTTAAAAAATATAATTTAATCACTAAAATCAGAAGATATTTGTTTTAGTGTTTTTGGGCACTTGGTGCGTGCCTAGAAGTCGTATTGGCACTTGCAGTCATGCCCACTCTAGGATGGCGTTGGCTTTTAGGATTATCCACAATACCATTGTTGGCATTCGCTATAGTTACTCCAGTACATAATTGAATTATATGATATACTTAATTTTAATTCCTATAGTTATAATAGAAATATTTTAGTGGCTACCGGAGTCTGCTAGGTATCATATTGCTTGTGGTCAAACTGAGAAAGCTTTATCAACACTACATCAGGTGAATTTATTAATCAATATTTTGAAATTTAAAAATAACTACAAAACCAAATAAGTTGGAAAAATATTTTATTATTTACAAAATTTATCCATTAACCCTTATCGGTCGGAAATCACCTGTGACGTGACAAGAATACTTTGACGCTAATGACTGATAAGGGTTGAAGTCATAATATTTCATTGTGAAATGTATAATTTGCTTTGACACTTACCATAATTAATAGTTAATAAGACGATTTTTTGAAATTTTCAGTTACATAACTGAAATTACAAACTTCAGATATTAAACTAATGCACTATTATGTATTATTATTTATTGTGCTTTTTCTTTTCTTTATTAGGTTGCTAAAGATAATGGTAGACCAATGCTGCTAGGTCGATTGGTTTTAGATGGTAATGGCAGTGTTATGAAAAATGACTTAAACAGAGGTCGTTTAATGGGATTATTAGCACCACACTTGCGCCAAACATCTCTTCTTTTATGGGCAATTTGGTAAATATATATAGGGTGTCCCAGACCTTGACGTTAAGCCAAATCTCATGTTGGGAAATTATGAGTTTTTATCTTTTTATGATTCATTATTAAAAAACACATACATCCCTAAATTTTTACTCTTCTACAACCAATCCCTATTCTGTAATAAACATCTTAGTAATCAAATTTTTCATATAGCACGATAACTGAACAATTATTGTCTTTTCTGTTCAAGTTTTCATTGAATTTAGATCAAAATTTTTGAGATCTGCTGAAACATTTTTAAAACCATTTTTATATATTGGAGATGGCAAGATTGAAACCAATAAAACTAGATGAATCAAGTTATCTATCAATTCTTGCATAATCACTGATTTGCAGAATTATCCTATTGTACAAATATTTTTCTTGATGTGCACCAAAAGTTCTTAGTTTTTGAATGGCTTGCAAAAAGAGAGTTTTAACAAAAAGAAAGTACAATACAAATCTATGGCAAAGCTGTGCACTTTGCCGCAACCTCACTCGATTTGCTAAACATGCCATAACATAATTCACAAATGAATGTATGGATTTAGCTTTGTAGGTAAAAAATAAATGAATTAATGAAAAGCTCTGTAATAATATATTACCACCTTGAATCTTCAAATGTGCCAATTCAATTGAAATGAAATCAGTTTCAGATTAGGCTTGCATGTGCAAAGACTATTAATGTCCCAGGAATATTTGGGACATGCATTTCAGTGGGTAAACCATCCATATAGTTGGTGTTTTCCCTTTCACATAGTTACCACCTAGTTCTGCATTCATATCAGTTACTATTTTATACTAAAATTTTTCTAGAAATATTTATGGCTCGACTGCATTTACCGGGCCAGCTAGTATATATATATATATAAAAAAATTAAATGAATGAATAGGGTGTATGTGTGTGTGTGTATGTATATATATATATATATATATATATATATATATATAGAATTTTGTGATATGAGTGGAACGAATATTAATTGTTAAATATGAACAATACAACACTCAGATTTTTAACCCACGCTTTAATTTAATCATCACAGACGTTTCGAGACCATGGTATATCTGGTCTTCAGTTTAATTTAACAGTAAAAACTATATACTAATAATACATTCGAAAAGTCCAAACTATTAACATTGATTCTGCCATGCTCTGTTTAAATAAGTCTTTTTTTATGGAATTAGTTTTGGGGATTATAAAATCAAACTTATGGTTCCTGATATTAGCATGATACACAAGCGTACTTTTAAATTTTTCATTATCTTTTTTTTTTTTGCATGGTAATTCATGTTGCCTGAGTTTTCTTTATCTAAGTTCTGACAAGTCTGGCTAATGAATTACAATGCGAAAAAATAGATAATAAAAATTCAAAGGTATGCTTGTGGATAATGCTAATATCAACAACCATAAGTTTGATATTGAGAATCCATATTCCATGAAAAAGACTCATTTAAACGGAACATCGCAGAATCATTGCCATGCTCCGTTCGGACTAACAATAGCGCAAATCTGAGAACCGTCACAAATATTTTACACGACTCTTATATAAACATCATTAATAATTAATAATTTTTTCATTTATCTTATTCTCTTCAATAAATTAATCTGTTTTCACATTAGTTGATTTTAGTATTCGATCGCGCCATTCTTTTTGTTTACATTGTAATAATATCCATTCTTGTCTCTTCTTCTTCGACACCTAAGATTTGTTTTCAAATATTTCTGTACATATTCACATGTTTAGTACTGTGTCAATCATTGTAAGAGATAGTTGGTGTTTTTTGTTTTTTAAGAATTAAATATAATTTGAATAAACTATTAAATAATGTATTATTATATAATTTTTCTGTTTTGAAATTACATTGAAAATGAGGCATGAAAATGACCATGGTCTCGAAACGTCTGTAGTTATTAAATAAAGTGTTTGTTAAAAATCTGAATGTTGTATTCATATTTAACATTTATATTTATATATATATATATATATATATATATATATATATAATCAATATATAAATCAATCAATGTATTTTTTAGGATGGCATGTGCTTTTTGCTATTATGGTTTAGTGTTAATGACAACTGAACTTTTTGCACCAGTTACTATGACTAATTTAAATGAAACTGTGAAAACCTTGCATGAAGTCATATTGTTTAATTCTTCGAGCATAGGGAATATGACATTTGATAATCAAACAGTGATCAATACTTGTCACCCTCTTACGACCCCAGATTATATGGATTTGTTATGGACAACCCTTGCTGAGTTTCCAGGTATAGACAATGTTTTTGTATTTGAGCAATTTTAATGTAAACCATTATTGTCTTTCCAAAGGAGACCCTTATGTTTTTTCCAGTAAATTCGGTTTATTAATTTTGTTTTAGCGTCATTTTAATTCATTCTGAATTGTTTCACACTAAAATTAAAAATAGTACACACACATGTACATACACAGATGAAACTTGATAAGGATTTGCGTTGTGTTTTGAGAGACAAATTAGTGAAAAAGTGCATAATTTGTTGTTGAACGTCTCACGAAAAATCTTGGACCGCTTTTCTGAATAAGTTAGGCGTTCATCGCGTTGATTTTTTTTACGTTTTTATTGAAACTTTGTATGGGAGATTATAATACTAAAATATTATACACCTACAAAAAGTAGTTGAAAGTTACCGTTTACATTTATACTTGAATAAAATACGTTTTTAGAACATGGAGTAGTATGAAATGTGTTTAATAATTCAAATTGAATTAATACAATTTGGATTGATTAGTTTTTAGTGAAAACAGAAACTACAATACAGTTAAAAATTTTATCTAAATAGCTGAATCTTAATTTTTATTGCTTAAGGCTATTATTATGTCATGCATCTTCTTTTAATCTCTTAACCGGCAATACACATTTATGTGTAAGAGGAGGAGCAATGAATAGGTCTTCAAAAATTAATTTGCGCCTATGGATCGACGGCACTGTACTTTCGATCGATTATTGCTTTGCGACTTTGATTTGTAATTCTTTTTATACTCCAAAAATATTAATAAGTGATATATATTTCACAATTTTTCATTAATTTTGTGTATGAATATATAATAATAGAATTACTAAATGATGGACACCGGGCACCCGGTACAGGTTAAGGAAAAATCACTTACGACTAGTTTTGATTCTATGTTTATTGACTATTTCAATTGAATACTATACAAATACAATACTGAGAATCATATACCACTGTAATTATTTTTTTTATTACTGTATATCATGCATTTGAATTGAAGAATAAGAAGATTGTCTTTTATTACAGGTATATTTGCCACAATCTACATAATTGAACGTTGCGGCCGTAAGAAGACGATGGCTGCTCAGTTTATCGTTTATGCGGTATGCGTATGTATGTTGGTCAGTCGAGTGAGCGATCGTTTGTTCCTGACAATCGTGCTATTCGTGGCCCGCGGTGTTATTGCCGGACTATTTCAGGCGGCCTACGTTTATACACCGGAGGTGTATCCAACGGCGCTCCGTTCTCTTGGAGTCGGCGCGTGTTCAGCGGTCGCCCGACTCGGAGCAATGCTAACTCCGTATGTTGCACAAGTATGTTAATTATATTAATTTTTACTTCCTTACTTTTACTATTTATATTTATTATCATACAAATTTAATAGCGAATATAAATAGTGGTGTATGGCATTGTGCCTTAAGGCAAACTGATGGAACTTCCCGTACTATAACAAAATGTTCGAGGAATATTAAATGTTTTCAAATAGATTATTATACATTTTGTAATATCGTCTAATATTTATAAGAATTATATAAACTGAATTACGAAGTTAAAATTATTCATTTAAAATATATAAGTGAGCTTTAGAACTTGAACCAGAATTAAAATTGAAATCTGAATTATTTTTGATATACAAAAAAAAAAATCTGAGAAAAAAAATTGAAATGAAATTTTATTTTCCAAAAGCAATTGTTTCGTCAATACAAGCAGAAAGTTTTTTGAATTATTCAAATTGGATGTTTATTTCTCTGAAAAACTGCAATTTTTTGTACATTTAGTTTGGTATCTTCAAAATGGCTGAACCTGCCTTTGCCAGAAATTAATCACCATTTCTTCCAATCATTAAAAATTGAATGTTTTTTAGATCATTCAAATCGGGATGCTACGTTCTCTCAAAAATTTGATTTCTATTTTCTGCACTCTTTGCTCTTTATCTCCGTAACGGCTGGACCTGCCTTTGCCAAACACTAATCAGCACATCTTTCTATCAATAGGAATCGAATGTTTTTTAAATCGAATATTTTATAATAGCAATATGTATAATATTTAAAAACAATAATGTAATGTAATCAACATTTGTACCATGTTATAACTTTAAAATGTTTATCTATGCCGATTTCTTTGTTGATTTCGGTACGCACACAACGACAGAAATCTATTTACATACGCGAAGTCTAATCACTATCGACCAGTATAGAAATGATATCATCGAGAGCGAATAACGAATCTTTGGCCCACTTATCTTACCTTATCTGCCGTAACGCACTTCCGTTGCATTTGCACGGATTTCCACCGTTAGTCGCGCCTAAAGAAGTTTTACTTCAATATTAGTGTAAAGTAACATATACCTTAGAGTTGTTTTTCACATGCATGTAAAATAGAATTTTCTAAATGTAAAATGTATTATTCTTTATTTATTATTATTTTCTAAATATAAATGTTTATATGTTCTGCACTTTAATTGTGTAGCACAAGCTCTAAACTATATTGATCTGAGATTTGCCAGGTAAGTTAGGCATAAAATGATAATCTATTCATTTTGATAGCATTTTTTGTATCAGTATTCCTAATACTGTACACTTGTAGAAAGTGCAGACTTATTACTCTTTTTAGTGCATTGCTACAATTTTATTAATTTAAAAATGATCTTATAGCATGTACTACTGCAGATAATAAATTTTCAATACTATAGTATAGTATTGTACTTTTTCTATGCTTCAGTGTTTTATTTTATGTCATAACATTATTTTTACTTCTAGTTTTTGTGGTAGATTATATTTAAATGTTAATAATTTAGAATTTAATGCCATAACATTATTTATATTTATTTTTATAAGTTTGAAACATAATAGAAAAATACTTTATTACTACTCATAACATTTGTTTGTAGGTATTACTGCAGAGTGCTCCAAGTACCGCAGTAGGCGTATATTGTGGAGTAGCTATCCTCGCTTGTATAGCGTGCTTACTTTTACCTTATGAAACCAAAGGCCTTGATTTAGGGGAATCCAGTGAAGTAAATACACAATCTCAATGAAATTGTGAGCTTTAAAATTGAGTACCTAAGTGATTAATAATTACCGTCCAAATATTATAGCTAATAACAAGTTTATTTATTTAACAAACTATATATATATATATATATATATATATATATAAATTTATATTTATTTATCTAAAATATAATATATATTTTTACTTTATCTGCTGTTTTGTTTTGAAAGAGTTGAAGTTGTTTATTTTTTGCAGTGTTAAAATATATATATATATATATATACATATATATATGTATATATATATATATATATATATATATATATATATTAATTTTCTCGTTTATTCAAAATATATTATTGGTAACAAATGTTAGTATTTAATATTACCGTTTTCTCATTATTTTTCCAAAACATTCATTTATATAATTTAATTAATTTGAAATGATTATGATTCATTGGGATTTTGAAAGACCTTCCATGATAATGATATCTATTTGGCATTGTTTCTAATTACCTTGATTAGCTAGTTATTTCTGTATTTTTGTCTTCAAACAAATTTATTTGCAAGCAAATAATTTTGACCTTTTTATGATTATTATAAAACACTAGCCGGTGGTAAACTAACTGAAGCATGCCCCGACAATTTGGTGGGAATTTCTGCTACACCAGGTACCCATTTGTTTCCATCGCAGCAATAACATTCTACTACGGATAAGGCCCGCATATATGCAGTTGTCATACCACCTGCAATATATATCGATGTATCAATGATTATACATATATATATAAACTATTTCAATTCAATATTTTACAATTTACTTCAATACAATAACTATTCTTATCATAATATTATAATATGACTATAATAATATAAATGATATTTATTAACAACTCAAGGATTAACTAAATAATTAATAATTCATAGATATTAAATTCATTGATCTAATAAAAATAGGTTGTTCCACAAGATATTTTTTGACAGTAGTTGAAATTAGAAAGTCTGTTGTGATTGTCGACACATAGCTTGTTCCCTTGTCAGAACTACAACTTTTGGAATTATTGGAAGTAGAACAGCACCTCTGTCTCGCGTGTTGTGGCCATGGATATCACTTCTCAGTACATAGTTTGTTCAGTCTGCATGAACCGCAATCACCTGCTGGTAGATGTAAAGGCTGTGGCCCTTAGTATTCTATATTTTGAAACCATAGGTCCGCATTTGGAATATGCACCGAGTATTTCCATTCTAATATGCCATATGAAAACAAAGAGTGAAATGACAAAGTAGGCCTCTCTGGAGCATTCCCCATTTATATCTAACTTTTCTGATAGCATAAATTGATTTCGAGAGCTTGGTGCATATCGTACTTTTGTGCTTCGCCCAATTAGCAAACTGTCCATAGTAAGACCCATAGATAAAAGAGCATGTAAGAGAGTAGGTAAGACCTCACCTCCATGCAGCTCTTTATGCTTCCTACTGGAAGTGAAGTTGATATGGACTGTTTTCTTATTGTTCAGTACAATTTTATTAGCTAAAAATTTAAAATCTATTTTCAGCTTGTTTGTGAGTATGCTGAATTTTTTCTTTCATATTTGCGATGCTGACATCCGTAACCGCCAAATCTGCGTTCTGCAAATTCCGTTGTGTTGTGGCATGTTTGGTGATAAATCATTTACAAATATGATGAAAAGAAGTGATTCAAGAATACTTCCTTGGGCAGTTTATAGAATGAACATTTATTATCATGATACCGATTACTGAAGTAAGATTGCAAAAGTTTTAAAGCTACGACTCTAAATCTGTAGTATTCCAAATATATGGGAAATAGATGTCATGTGGAACATAACCAAAAGCTTTGCTGAGTTTGCAAACTAGTGGTCCGCCCCGCTGATCTTGATGGTCTTTCAGTGAATCTTACATTACTTACAAAAGTATAGAATAGCATGAATTGTATTAACACTTTCCACTCGGGAGTCGGACTGCTATTCGGTACGCTGCGCTCGGAATATTATAGTGCTATACTTATCTCTCAACTCGGAATTTTTTTTGTATCGGATTTTTTCAAAATGTGGTTATATTGCTATTAAATATAGTTATTATGATAATAAAATAGAAAATTTTGAAAATTAAAAAAAAATGCACTCAAAACCATGCTATATTGTTTAAACAATCATTTCTTCACAGATCTTTATTAGAATTATGGGGATCATGAGCTAATAAATTAATCCGGCGGCATCCGAGCGCAACGGGGTAAAATGACTTTGCCGCCGGAGCGGCGGCATCCGAGTCGAAAGGGTTAATTTTTCTGAAGTCTTCGGCGTTAGGTGCCTCCTGACTTATATTTTCTGCAAAACTCATTCCCGTTTATCTTTTTATTTTGAGTATGTTCCATATTATGATAACATATATCCTTTACATTGGTTTGTTTTATTTTCATGCTCCATCTTTTGGCTGTATTGTCGTTCCAGATTCTCGTAAAAAGCCTTAAAATCGGCCCTTTTTGTTTGTTTAAACGCGCCATGTAATAAGTCAATCTTTTTTTTTCATTTTTAGGAGGTCTTCAGATTGCGCTGGCTTCCATTATTGTTTGATCGAAACTCGTTTGCACGGAAATGTATTCCGAGCTATCTTCTCAAATATATATAAAAAATGTTCAAACTGGCTGGTTATTAGGATCTTCACCTATCGCCGAATGTTCCCAGTCTACTTGAAAAATTAGCTTAACACAGTCGTCCATGTTGAGGCTACCGTTTTTTCTTATAGTACGTGAGGTATTTATATTAATGTCAACTCTCAAATGCATAGGCAAAGCTTATGGTCTAATATTGCCACTGGAAAGTTGTCTAATTTACTATTAATTTCTTCTATGTTTGTAAATTCGTTATCATTACATATTCGTGGAGTAAGATTAACATGAGTATGGGTTTAATTTAGTGAATACTATAGTAACCCTAAACATAGTAAACATAAACATAGACATTAAGTTGATCAACGCATTTATATCATTAGATCTTTCAATGAAATTAGCATTAAAATCGCCGGATAGAATGTTTGTTTTCAAATAAAAAGCGTCTTATATTATCGCAGTAAAGTTTCCTTAACTATCCAAGAATGAATAAACTGACGCATTAATATATCAATATTACAGCACGCTCATTGATATTTCGATGTTATTTGCTCACATTCAACATTTTTAACGTTTTTTCATTCTCAAGAGTTTCCGGCGATGTTCCCGGTGCTAGTCGAAACACATGCAGGTGGGCCTTCCTTTCTACTCTCGTGATTGTAGTTAGTACTCACAACTCAAATTCGTTCCTTCAATAGGTATATTCTTACTCCGATACGTTTTCCTTTTCAGGGCTAAAGCCCAATTTCCATTTACGTTAATTGACTGTCTTCAACTTTGGTCGATTTGGTAAGCTATCAACCGCATTCCGGAAAATTTCAGTTCTACGCTGTTCTAATTAGTTGCAATACCTGGGTGCAGCTGGCAAAATCACTTCCTTCTTTTCACTTGACTTTGCTGAATGATGTATCCTTATCTTTAATTATTGCAATTTTAGCGTCCATCATGGTATTGTTATCGGTAATTATTTGTTTACGCGGCAAATTATGCCGTAATTCTTACAAACATCCCATACTTGTAGTGGATTTTGTTTCACAACAGTTGCAAAAAACACGTCCGCACGGCACAGCGGCAGTAAAACGAATATCAACATCTAAAACATAGTATATAAACAGGGCCGTGTCTGGGTATGTGGCCGCCTGCGTGCGAGCATTTTTTGGCCGCCCTTGAAAATAACATAATAGGAAAATATCAAATGTTCTCACAAAAAATTCGACTTTTAATTTTTATGTTTTCTCTATGTTTCTCGTCATTCTGAATCGTTTGAGACCAAATTTGAAAAAATAGTGTGTACATGAGCCGATTTTTGAAAAACGGTTAAATCGATTTCAAAAATTTAAAATTTTAAGTTAAATTTTAAAAGTTAAGTCATTTGATGTAACTAGATCACGACTACCGTCTGTTAGTTTTGTACAACAATTGTCCAAGCCGTTTCTAATCAACAGAAAAGTGTATAAATTTTTGTACACGTTTTAGCCAAAAATCCTGCATCATTTATAAACATTCAGAAACTGTTTGAAAGATATCATTTGGAAATCGTGCTGATTAGTTTTAAGAGATCGGTCAGATTGTTTCTTCGTATTTAATTGTTAAATATTTTTTTACGATGATATTTATAAAACTTTCATGGCGTATAGATCATGATCTCAAATATAACTAAATATTTCGACCCCACGACAAGTCGTTTTAATTTTCAAAATATTATCAAAGTTTGACAAAATGGGCAGCACTTTTTTACGTGAGGCAAAATTTCATCAACGTTTTCTTAGAAATGTGCAATCCTTTTTGAAAATTCTATGAAATTCGATAAGCACTCGTGCTGGTTAATTTTGCCTCACGATCGGCCGAGCCGGTTTTTTTTTAGAATTGTCAAAAAAGTGTCAAATTTGTGAATCTATTTTCAAAATTCAAAAACCATTACAAAGGTACTATTTGAGAATCGTGCTGATTAGTTTTTGTCAATGATCGGTCGAGTCGTTTCTCAGTTACTGATTAAATTTTTTTTGGCGATTTTGAATCCTCTTCTTAATGAACATACCACACGTTTATTTCTTGTTCAATAATATTTAATTTTTAAACCATTTATAAAAAATAACTAACATGTTTAGAAAATTTGTACAAAATTGATTAATCTGCGATAGCTTTTCACGTTGCAATGCACTTATGAATTAATATATTTTTTATAGTTAGGTCGATTATTTACACATGTTGAAAAAATCATGCAACTTGCTTTAAGGCAAAGTTGCCACTTTCACCAGGTTTATACACTTATTAATGATTTGGAAACAAAGCTTTTAATAACCGCTTTTTGATTCAATCTTGCTTTCAATTCGGTCTCCTTCGGCTGATTTTGACTACGGTCGTCTTTTAATTCATCGGATTTTCAATACGGCCGCGAATGAATTCAGCGAACTTTTAGTTTGGCCGCCTTTTAATCCAGCGGCCTTTCAGTTGGGCCGCC